CCCCAAAACCCCAAAACCCCAAAACCCCAAAACCCCATCAATCAAAAATTATTGAAAGAATAAAATATGAAACAGTCTATGTACAGTGTGTTTGTACTCTTGGTCTTATTCCTCTTTCTAAGTGTCGCCATGACGAGAAGTAGCGGTAGAGGAGCAAGGGGTTCTTATAGATCTGGAAGCAGATCAACAGGGTCTTGTAAAGCAGGCACTACTACATGTGTGATTATTCCAATTGTTTGAGTTATAGGCTTCTTCATCCTAATCTTTATTATTTTCCTCATTTCTCGTTATATTCATGCTGCTAAAAAGAAAAAGATTCAGAAAATATCAGAAAAGGCTTGGATGGACTCCATGAAAAAGCTGGAGTTGGATAACAAGCAAAAAGAAGAAGCTTCTAAGCTTGAAAAGTTACAGAAGAGGCAAGAAGAGCTAAAGGAGAATCAACTTTTCATAGACCAGACAGACTACTCAGTAAATCCTCAGCCACAGGCCCAATTCGTGATGCCTGGAACTGCAGTGCAGCCAACTTATCAAGTTGTGAACCCTTATGCAGGCAACCACAACTATCAACCAGTTCCTGTGGTCTATGACCCTGCATCTTATGGTGTTCAATATAATGAAAATTTGCAGACTCCAGAACAGAACATGCTGTATACTCCTATCACCCCATTCGGAGGCACTAATGATTCTGCGAAACAAGGCTTCAACGTGAATAGTGTGAAGGTGGCTACTTATGAAGGAAATGAATCTGCTATTAAATTAGTTTAAATCACTAATTGGAAGGTAAAATAAGAATGTCCGTTGGAGATATTTTCAGGATTAAAACAAGGAATTTACTTATACTTACATTTTTATCGACAGATTTATAAGATGGTAATTTATAAATAGCCCAACCTGTTCTGAGTATTGTATATGCCAAATTACAGCATTTCGTCAAAATCTTGCTCTAAACTAATTCTTCTCCACCGTCCCTAACTTAGTGCCATTTCAGTTATTCATTCCTAAAAAATCTCCACCGGAAAGTCGGATCGGAACTTCGTTTAGAAATATTCTTGAGGAACGGGTAACAGAAAAGAATTTTTTGAATGAGCTAGATTAAGAATTTCTATATGGGTGGATGGACTGGGGTTTTGGGGTTTTGGGGTTTTGGGGTTTTGGGG